GCTCTGCAGCATGGGCACTTTACACATTTTGTCCTGCCTGTGAAATTCATCATCTTGTAGAAATCCATTTCTATTTAGCCTTTGCACGAGCAAGAAGAGCATGAGAAAACCTGAAGACAGAACACAGAATGCTCTACAACCCCCATAGCCTCATCCTGTGACTGTGTGCAGCTGTTTCAAAGCAGCTGGATCTCACACAAGATCAGAGTGAGCATTCAATTTGCTGCTATGTCTGATGCCTTGTCAGTTCTGACCAACAGGAATAAAGAATCACATCACATTGAAGCCCGTCACACTGGAGCACCTGAGACTTGTCCAGTAGAAATAAACTGTCTTGGGTTTTTCCCAGCTAGCAATGTCAGACTAATCCAGATACGGCCCAGCAGCCAGATCTTCCTCAATCCATATCCTCTCTATCATAAGTGGTCATGCCATTCCCTAAAACACAAGTTTTGACCTCTTCTAGAATTTAGTGGTTTTCTTTCACACTTGGGAGCAAAAGATACCATGAGGATATAAGTCATGTAAACTGATTGTTCAAAAGGCTGCCTGGAGCATGAATCCGCAAGCTTGAGCTGGTGGTTTGTAGCTGTTGTAACACCTTACTAATTTTTCAGGTTAAATATATTAATTAATTCATTTTTACAGCAGAAATGAAGTTAAAATTACAAAAGGAAATAAATAAGGAACAGCAACTAAGGGAATAAATCTGCAAAGGAAATCTTAAAGGTCTTCTCCCAGTTTTTTGTTGGGTTTTCTTTGTTTGTTTGTTTGTTTGGGGTTTTTTTGTGCATGGTGGGAAAAAAAGCCATACTCTAAGTATTAAATTAACCTATGGAGTGAATAGGAAATAAAAAAAGACAATGAGTTATGAAGGTTAGAGGTCAATCTATATTATAGGTATGTGAGAGATATCTGAGAGAGCCAAATACAACAAGTGAGAATCCATTGTACAGAATTTACAGTGTGTTTCTATGTTAATCTAAATATACAGTGAATCTCATGGACTTGGTCAGATGAAGCACCAGGGAGAAATTTAGATGCCTTAAATTTCCAAGAGATGTTTAGTGGGGTTTTAAAATACAGCCATAAGTAATCCATAACAGTTAAGTACCTAGGAGGATTGTGAAACACTTAAGTACCTTTAAAATCCTAGACCAAGTCTGTGGAGACCTAAGAAGAATATGCAGGGTTTACAACACAAGTTATAAAGGCACATTCACCTCCTAAATCAGCTGAATTATTAAGTAAACACAAGCATGGATGAAAAGGATTTGAAGGTACATCTACATTCAGTGACCAACAAAAGTGTCTTCTTTCAGATTACCAGCAGTAAAACATGGATAAGCTGCAAGTTGATTCAGGTCTGACTGAAAAGTAAAAGTTATTCATGTAACTATAAAATTTGTACATGCAAATTCATTGGGTAAGCTGTTGCTGACCTCCATCAGGCACACAGGTCTACAGCCTTCTGTGTACCTCAGAGGGTTGCTTTGCATGTGTGGGAAACTGGTTGAAGTTTTGGCCTCTAAATGTTGTTTGACCAACTGCTGCTCACTAAGAGTAGACAGACCTTTCAAAGGTTACAGCCATTGGCAGTGCAACCAATACAGCCCTTCAGAAGGCACATGGACTAAAGGCTCTACTACAGCACACTCTCATTGCTTCTTTTCTCCCCTTACTGCCTACCTATATCCATTTGGTCCTTTTTGCTTTTATTCTTAAAATCTGCTTTGATTCAGATCATCATATGGGTTTTACCTTCTGCTGGGTTATGTGATTCAAGGATTATCTCCACAAATGGAAAGGAGCAGAAAGGAACAGAGGCAAGGGGAGAAATCCAATGGCACACCCAGAGAAAAGGAACCTCTGCCCTGGCTCCTGTTAGTGAGGGCTCAGCCTGGGGTCTGGTGTGACACCCATCTCCACAGTCCATGGGAGAGGCTCTGTGGGTCACTCTATAGAGAAGAGTTACTGCCTGCAAGGGGGTGGGAATCTCTCGGGGATGCAGGGGAAGAACATCTTTGGGATCATACAGGACAACTTTTGGGATGTTTAGAGGAGGTAACCAAAGGTGGGGATAAGAGGGGATAAAGACGGTTTGATATAGAAAAATAAAAGGATGTGAGGCTAAAGTGACTCAACAGGGTGGAAACAGGTTTTTGGTGAGTATGCTTCTCTGGCTATGCCTTACACCTGATCATCTCAGTGTGTCTTGTCTTTGTAGACTGTATTTTAATTATTTTTTGGGTGAGAGTGGCGCCTATATTCCATGTGTATATTATGTGTATGGTGGCCTGAGTACCAGCAATTAAAAGTGGGGGCCACAAGTCACAGGGGCTTATGTGTCTTAGATACAGCAACTGGAGAGACAAAAGCACACACTTTATGTGAATCTTAATGTCTGTGTGTGGTCTTTAGCAAACAGCAAGCCAGGGCAGGTGGGAGTCAAGTTTTGGAGTAGCCATGAGTCCAGGAAAGAAAGTGAAGAGACCAGAGGATCTCTGAGTTGGCTACTGGAGAGACAGGGGGTCCTTCTGAGAAGACTGTGGTGTGGTCAGCTGCTGGTGAGGCCACAACTCTGCACTAGCTACCAGAGGAATTTGTTTGCCTGTTTGTATCTCTGTGTGAGGCAGATTTGTATCTCTGGGGATCCAGAGGTCATCCACTGAACAGGCTGGGTGTCCTAAAGCCAGCACTGGACAAGAGAGCCACCATTCATAGCTGTAGATCTATTACCAGCAACTAGAGTGGAACTACAGGTCTCTGGGATAACATATCCTCATGCCAAAAACTGGAAAGATTTGGGATCCAGGTGTTAACAACAGAATAAGATTAGTGTCTCAGACCAGCTATAGAGGGATTCATATTGTACATATAAACATATGCAAATACATGTTTATTTTCCACTGATGGGCTTCTGTCCTGATCAGTCAGAGAGAGGAACAGGATGGGGCCATTAACGCTGTTTGTTTATTGTGTGAGTGCTGTGTTTTCTGCCTGGGTCAGTCAGCATGGCCAGCCATGTCTGTATCTGTATCTGTATGTGTGTGAGCCTACAGGGAACACACACCCAGCCTTGCCACTACCTGGATCTGGGAACCTACTGGATTTTAAGAACTGGCACACCAGCAGTAGGCGAGAGGATGGCAAGTGTGAACTGTAAACGGGAGGGTTTGCAAAGTGTGGGGAAAGCCAGGCCTGGAAGGCACAGTCAAGGACATATAGAGTCAGGCAATGTCCAAGCCAACCTCACTAATCAGGCTGCTGAATAATGCCTTGTTCATGGATCTCTTCCAAAAATGCAGCTCACACACGGAAGGACACTTCTTTTGAGTCCTTCAGCAGAGAAAAAGGCACATAGTATCCAGTCCTCTGCTAATGGCTGCTTGCAAGGCAAACATGCTGATCCTGATCCTCCAGCTGCTTCCCTGATGTCAGAAAGAGAATTGACTCAGCCTAGCATGATGCATGTGGGCTACTCAGAGGTGATTTGCTGCAAGCCCTGCTGACAAACATTTGTGGAAAGGCAGGGCTGGAGCTGAGAGCACAGAGCTGAGATGACATTGTTCATGTCACAGCAACCTAAGGGCAGACAGGCTGCGGGTGGCCTCCCAATGCACAGATTTTGGGTTATTTGGAGGTCATGTGTTGATTGGTGGGGGCTACCTTGACTGTGTTCAAGCTGCAGAAAGCACCCAAGATTGTTCTCCAGAAAAGCCCCAGCTGGGCCACCTTTCAACAAGTGGATAAGGAGGTTCTGTATTTCTGGCCTCAGGGCTGCTCTTGCACAACAGCAGAGACTGGGTTGGGCAGCACAGATATGCATGGACAGATGAATGTCTCCCACCAGGGCTAAATACTGGAATAGGCTGTATAGACAATGGCATCCCATGGAAGAGTCATGCTGACATGACAGCAGGAACTCTCTACTTGGGAAACTCTGCAGCAGTTACCCAAAGGGGTCATAAAGCAGATTCAGCAGCTGTGGGAAAGTGGCTTCCTCTCTGGAGGAGAAAGAAAATCCCCTTTTTCATTAAAAATCAAGCATTTCCAACCATGCATATCCCAGGGCAAACTCTGTATGGTGGTGACATGAGCTGTCAGGAAAGTTTCTTCACAGACTGCTTGACATCCCAGTTACAATTTTCAGACAGAAGCTTGTCTTACTGGCAAAAGAAAAAACAAAACAAAAGAAAACAAAAACAACAACAAAAAAAACCCCAAACCAAACAAACAAAAACCCAAACAAAATAACCGTCAACAAACAAACAAACAAACAAACAAGAACAACCCCCCAACCAACCAACCAAACAGACCACAAAGAAAACCACTCCAAAAAAACAAAACCAAAATACCCATCAGGAAAGAGCTGGGTGAAGAAGATGGCAGGGCACAGAGAAGGGCTACCCATCCTTTTGGATGCTGCCCCAACACAGAATCATGGAACCGCAGGATCAGTTAGGTTGGAAAAGACCTCTGAGATCATTGAATGTAACCCATGATTAACGCTACCATGTCACCTAGGCCATGGCACTAAAGTGCCACATCCAGTCTTCCCTTGAACATCTCCACTGCCTCCCCGGGCAGCCTGTCCCAGTGTCTCATCACCTTTTCTGGGAAGAAATTCTACCGAAGCAGAGCTGTGCAGCGAAGGCTGCGATGTGCGCGCCCGTCGGGGCGGGGGCACAGGAACAGGGGACGGAGACGGCGGCGGTGTCCGGCCCCCGCACGGGGTGAAGGTGCCGCAGTCACGTTCGCTGGCCTGGCTTTGGGCTGAGCAGCAGCACACCAGGGATGGGAGCTGCCGCTGGGGCAGGAGGACCCCCAGGGACCCCGCTGCCGTCGGGGACAATGCGGGGCCGGTGTCACCCAGCGGGGCCGGTGTCGCGCCCCGGTGCCGAGGGCGGTGCCGGGCGGGGGCGGCCGCGGGCGGGCGGGGGTGCGGAGCCCATAAAGCACCGCCCGGTGGGACGGCGCCGTGCACGGCCGGGCTGGGCGGCGGGACAGCGGGCGCACGGCGGGGCGAGCGGCTGCAGCCATGAGGGAGATCGTGCACATCCAGGCGGGACAGTGCGGAAACCAGATCGGGACCAAGGTGAGCCTGACGGGGAGCCGCCGCCTGCCCGCCGCTTGCGGAGCCTCCGAGCGCCCGGGGGACGCGCCCGGTGGTTCCCCGGGGCTGCTGGAACCCCCGGGGCTGCTGGAACCCCCGGGGCTGCTGGAACCCCCGGGGCTGCTGCACACCGCGGGCTGAGCTGGGCTGGGCCGTGCCAGCCGCCCCCGCTCCCATCGCCCGTGCTTGGATGCCGCTGCCGAGCGGCGCCGGCCGCGCCCGGGGCACCGCGCATCGCTCCGCTCCCCGTGACCATAAAAGGCCTTGGGAAGCACCAAAACCAAACGGGACAGCTTTAAAAAAATTGTTTTAAAACTTTTTAAAAACTTTTTTTCTGTTTGAGCCGGCCAGGCCGCGGTTGAGAGGCGGGGGAGGGCGGCAGAGCCCGGGCGGGCCCTGGGGCGCGGAGCCGGCGCTGCCCGTGGGGTTTGAATCCCGGTGCCCGCCCGGCTCCCGCTGCTCGCGGGCCGGGAGGGGCGGCGGGCACGCCTGGAATCCGGCAGCTGCCGCCGCCGCCCCCGGCCCGGGCTCGGCAGGGAAGTTCCCAACCCACTTCTCGCTTTTCCTCCCTCAGTTTTGGGAAGTGATAAGTGATGAGCATGGCATTGACCCAGCCGGAGGCTATGTCGGTGACTCAGCGCTGCAGCTGGAAAGGATCAATGTCTACTACAATGAATCATCTTGTAAGTGTGGGATGGGGACCGGGAGGGGCGCGGGACAGGGGGCTCCCTGGGAAGGGGCACAGGAATCAGAAGATGATGGGCTCATAAAGCCATATCGCACATCTGGCCACACTCCTCACATGCCACCAGCCCCCCAGCTGCGCCCAGCTCAACAGAAAATGTTATCTACTTTCTTACAGAGTATTAAGATGGCTGGGTGCTATCTCCCCAGACACAGAGAAGTAGCACAAGGGGCTGTCCTTAGGGCCTGGAGGTGGAGATTTGTTTATTATTTAACGTTACAGTAGGAGTTTGTTCTTCAAATGTGTGATTACTTCACCAAATGCATTTCTTCAATTACTCCAAATTAAACTGTTGGTTACATAAGCCCACACCAGTAGTACTCTCTCTTTAATTTTCATGAATGAGAGGGTTGGGCCACAGGTAATAGAGAACTGTTTCATTAATGAGATGGCAAAAGGCATCCAAGTCCTCAGAGTCCTCTGCTATTGAAGGATGTTCACAGTGTAAAATGGGGACCTGGAGTCCTTTGGCCTGTGTACACGAACCTGCAAGTGTGAATGTTTCATCTTTTGTCCAGCTGGGGTTAATTCATATTATTTACCTGAGTTTCCTTGAACAAATTCAACCTGACACAGATTGTTTGTTTTATGCTTTGTGGTAGATGTGCTGACTACTACTGTTTGCTATGTACACCAAGTAGCTCTTTCAGTGGAGGAGAATCCTTCAAACACAAAAGCTTGTGGATAACTTGAACATAAGCACTTCACTCAGCCTGATTTTACAGAAAATATTACCTACTTTCTTAAAAAGAACAAGTAAACTATTTCTTTCTAATCAGAAACTCCCTAATATCTCTTGCTAATAAAGAGCTTGCAAAATGTAAAATCTGTAGAGTCCAAATTATGTCAGGCCTGTTTTCCGAGCTGATTTGATTTATTCCTGTGGAGGTGGGTTTTTCACCTCGATGACTTTCTGTATAGGAAGTACTTACATATGTATGAACTATGTAGACTAACAATATGAGATGTAATAGATTTGTGTATTAAAAGCTATAACTGTGCTAGCTTATTTCTGAACATTAAGGGCATGCTTACTTTGTGTTGTAGCCCACAAATTTGTACCAAGAGCAGTCTTGCTGGACTTGGAGCCGGGAACCATGGATAGTGTGCGCTCTGGTCTTTTTGGTCAGCTCTTCCGGCCCGATAATTTCATCTTTGGTATGTGGATGTTTCTCTGTAAAAAACAGACTTCTACAACAACTGTTTGATTACCAAGTGAATGGTCAAAAAGCATTCAATCTCCCTGTTCCTACTGAGAAATCCTAATAGCTAAAACAATGAAATTGCAATTATTATGTAAGCCGGTCAAAACATCCTGTTAAGTGAAAAAGTCATTCTTTTGTTGATCATTCCTTCGGTTAGCAAACTGCTGGAAGTTTCCGATAGTATTCAGAGAAAGTACATTTGCTTTCCACATATATGAACTCCAGAGAAATCCTGAGGCCAGTTCTTCACAACAAAATGCACAGAAATTCTGCAGAAAATGGAGAGGGGAGGGAAAAACCTCAACCACAAACCAGCCAGACTACCCTTCACTTAAATTCACATTAAATGCTCGAGTACAGAATTGGTTTTAGGCTGTGTAATTAAACTTTTTCAGTATATCCTTGCAGTGTAGTAACAGTGGAGGAAGATAATCTGTAATATAGAAAACACAGATGTAGCCACAGTTACTGGGTTAGTTTCTAGCATAATGAGGAACAGTCTGAAAATAAGTGGAGACGTTCTGGTTTTGCAGTGTTCTTGCAGAGGGTTGTTTTTACTTTTACTGCTTTACTTTGGACTTTGTAGTACTTTGCATCTAAGCTTAAAAATGCACAGAGCATCCTTATGGAGCATTGTCAGTCCCTTTGCACTAAGGGAGGAACAGCATGTGGAAGTTAAGTGAGCCACTTGCTGAAATGGGAAGTCTGAATGAAACCTACCCTGAGAACTTTCATGTTCTTTTGGTTTCCAAGTCTGCACTAGCCACAAACACAATATCCTCCTGACAGGGCAAGCTTAGGTTGGAACTCAGTTTGGTACGTTGTGTTAACATAAGGAAGGAACAGTGCCAGGGACAGGCAGAGGAAAGATAAACATAGTTTGAACAGTATAAAACAAATCTGGCTTGTTTGGTTGGAGAGGGGAGTGAAAAAGCCATACAGAGTTCCTTTAAGAGGAATTTAAAACTTTTATGCCATCCATGTTGTTCTCCTGTAAACTCCATGGCAGTGATGTTAAGGGTCTCTTCCAAAGGAGCTGCAAATTACAACATGTAGCTTAAGGTGTAAACTTAGGGAGAAAAGCCATAGACACAGGCAGCTTTATGAAGTCTGTTTCTGTGTTCAGGTTTTTCCTTTCATTCCCTTTCACCTGCACGAACCACACAAGCATTCTGAAAGTGAATTTGCCTGACCTATGGAAATACCTGAACTGGAGCTTTACAGTTTGGCACAACACCAGTAAAACCAGAGCAAAATCAATTCAGAATGTCTTCAACAATAGCCCAGTTTGCTGTACTCCCTTCCTGCCAAGATAACAATGAACCCACAGCATGTGATCGACTCGTATCTGTCAGAGGCCCCTGCCAGCATCAGGCACTGTCCTCCCAACCTGCTGAATAATGTAAAATGGCTGAGTGCTGAAGTAATGAACTTCTGTGTTAAAAGCCAACAAAGCATTTTGTTTTCTCATTTAAAAATCTGGCCTGGGCCCACAAAGGATTTTGTGGCAGGAGCTGGCAGTCCCATACTTGCTGTAGCCCAGGCTGTAAGGGCTCATTCTGATGGGAGTGTTTTCCACCTCTGCTTGTATGAACCTGCAGGTGCCCACATCTCCACAGCAAGTAGCCATGGATCATCAGTCAGGATTTCATGCAGGTGTATTGACCATATGTACATGGTCACACACTCCAGATACAGGAATTTTATATCAAACCAGCAAGAAATTTGAGATGGCCACAAAATAATCCTTCTACTTTAAGGCCTGTGTTAACAAGGTAGTGATTTAAAAGGTGAAGAACTGCAGGTGGAACAATCTTGCTGTATGAGAGCAGTAGGCCTCCTGGCCTTCTGACTGCACACAATTGCCACCAGGAGCTGCTGTGATCTCTGATGTGTCTCCTCCTGTTAACCAGTATTCATTTGTACATTTTTGCATTTGTTGTTTTCTTTTCTTGTGTAACCCTTGGTAGATTTGCTACAGAGATACCACTTCAATTTAATTTGTATGAACTGATGGGGGCAACCAAAAAATATCTGTCCAGCAGTTAAAGGCAAGTTCTGTAGCAGGGCTGTTCACATCAAGCTCCTAAGTTTTAATGTGCAAGCTACTGAGCTCTTTTACCAGGTTTGTCTTATATTTTGAGCAGTGAAGAGAGTAGAGGAGTGAAGGAAGATTGTAGGAAACAAGTGCCATTTTAGGGACTAAAAAATAAATTGACTGTTAGACAAATGACTTCTCTGCATGTGCAGCTCAACCTGAACATGTGTGATAACCCTACAGTGTGTTGGAGAAAGAAATATTCATAGAGGGACCTGGAGGTTCCAGGAATGCAGATAAGTTGTCGGATTGCTTCATACAGGCTTTTTTAGATCCTGGCAGATGACAGATGGAGGATGCTGGAGCTGGGCTTGAAGGATGGGCAAAAAAATTGCCAGGTCCTGAGTTTTTGGACACAGGCTCATTTTCCACCCAGAGAGTTTAGCCCCAGTGAAATTGATAATTTCTATGTGTTTGTGTTAGATTTTCAGAGGTCAGGTAGGTAGGCACGTGATAATTGGAGGCCATCCAGTAGAGTTGCACAGAATTGTGATCAGGATTTCCAGATTTGTGGCAGCCTTGTCAGGGCCATGGCACCTCCAGACTGTATTGTCATGGGGCTAGAGCTTCCAGGGCATGTTTACATGCTCTGTGTTGTGGTAGCCTTACAGTGCTGTAGAGCCAGTGGTTCTGGAAGCATTAGATAACTGGGTGTAGAAGCAGGAAATCACCAGTGAAAATTCTGGAGACCCCAGGCACATGGCCGACTAGTGGATGGAGTGTAGTGTTGCCACAGGAGTAGCTGATAGTTGTCCTAAAATCAGAATTTATGTCCAATAGGAGATAAATGCCTTCTGCTTTTTGGAGAGGTTGTCTGCTTGTTTGTGTGCATCCTGATGTGCTTTCCTGTCCATAGTAGGGGATCTGCTGAAGCAGGCTGCAGGTGTTACAAACATATTTAATTCTGGAAGGATATTACTTTGTGCTTTGCCCAGCTGGACAGGAAGTGCTGAGCTCCCTGGGCTTAAAGAGAGAAAAATATAGCAACATACAGAACAATGCATTAGATAACCAAATACACCATGAGGAAACCAAGCATTTATGCAGTGCAAAAAAGTACAGAGGATTTCAGAAGTGTCCCAGCCAGCAGTTTCCCTGGCTCCTATCTTTGGCACCAACATGGTGCTGTGGGAATTGAAATGAGAAATGGTAATAGGAAGGGAGGGGAAGGTCTTGGGGAACAGCACAGAATTTGCCAGCTCTATAATTAATTCTGAAAGCATTGCTCAGTCTGAATACCACTCCCAGGAGTACCCTAAGTGAGTTCAGTGGCACAATGTATGTGTGTAGTAGACACTGAGGAACAGGAATAGTAAAAAATTGATTGCCCAATTTAATCCTCCTCATTATCTAACCAATAACAAAACAGTGACAATGGCAAATGATCCACACTTTATCTTAGCAAACTGAGTGGCACATAAAACAAGAAGGGAAGTCTTGGGAAGAAAAGAATGGACTCATCACTTTTCTGAAGTATCAGTAATCTAATTTTCCAAGTCATTTTGCATATCCTGAAGGATAGTGAGTTTGTATGGAAATCAGTAAAACCTAAAAGGCACTTAACTTCTAAGTTTTGGAAATAATGTCCCTGAAGCTTCTGTTGATCACTATTTTCATTCAGGCTAGGTAACCACGAATTTAAAAAGCTATTTTTCCTGATATAACAAGTTAAATAGGATTTTGAAGCCCAGCTTTATTCTTGAATGACAATGTTTTCTCTTTGACTCACAAGAACAGTCCAAGAGCCTCTCACTTTCATTGAGATACATGTATCTGTGATTTAGCTTTGCATGCATCATGGTCCTTACAGACAGAAAGCATTTAAATATCAAACAGTCATCTTGTGTTTACAGAATCATCAGGACTGGGAGTGTGAAAGTTTGCAAAACAAGGAGTTAAGGCCATCTTTTTGCACTTATGGAAGGTAAAATGCCAAAACCGAAAAAAACACAACAACAAAAAAAAACCCAAAAAACCAACCAACCAACCAAACAAAAAAAAAAAACCAAAAAAACCAACCCCCCCATACACTCAAAGGCATTAATGAAAACTGCCAGAGACTATATAAAAAGTTTATGTTGATACTTACAGAGATATTTGTAGGCAAAACTGAAGAGCACAGTTATCTACCTGACAGATGTGTAGCAGCTTTTGTTACAGATGTGAGTCAAGGTAGAGTGCAAATATCAAACCTTGCCAATAATTTTGTGTATTTTCTTTCCCTGTTGTATCTCACTTCAGGACAAACTGGTGCAGGAAACAACTGGGCTAAAGGACACTATACAGAAGGGGCAGAGCTGGTTGACTCTGTGCTTGACGTAGTGAGAAAAGAGAGTGAACACTGCGACTGCTTGCAAGGATTTCAGCTCACTCACTCCCTGGGAGGAGGGACAGGGTCTGGCATGGGAACCCTGCTTATCAGCAAGATCCGAGAGGAGTTTCCGGACAGGATAATGAATACCTTCAGTGTCATGCCTTCTCCTAAGGTTTCTGACACCGTGGTGGAGCCGTACAACGCCACGCTTTCGGTCCACCAGCTGGTGGAGAACACAGATGAAACCTACTGCATCGACAACGAAGCTCTGTACGACATTTGCTTCCGCACCCTGAAGCTCACCACCCCCACCTACGGAGATTTAAACCACTTGGTCTCTGCCACCATGAGCGGGGTGACCACATCCCTGCGTTTTCCGGGCCAGCTCAATGCCGACCTCCGGAAGCTGGCAGTGAATATGGTCCCCTTCCCGCGCCTTCACTTTTTCATGCCGGGCTTTGCTCCTTTGACGGCGCGGGGCAGCCAGCAGTACCGAGCGCTCACGGTGCCAGAGCTGACCCAGCAGATGTTCGATGCCAAAAACATGATGGCAGCCTGTGACCCGAGGCACGGCCGGTACCTGACGGTGGCCACCGTCTTCCGCGGCCCCATGTCCATGAAGGAGGTGGACGAGCAGATGCTGGCCATCCAGAACAAGAACAGCAGCTACTTCGTGGAGTGGATCCCCAACAATGTCAAGGTGGCGGTGTGTGACATCCCTCCCCGTGGCCTCAAGATGGCCTCCACCTTCATTGGCAACAGCACTGCTATCCAGGAGCTCTTCAAAAGGATCTCGGAGCAGTTTTCTGCCATGTTCAGGAGAAAGGCCTTCCTCCACTGGTTCACAGGAGAGGGGATGGATGAAATGGAATTTACAGAAGCAGAAAGCAACATGAATGACCTGGTTTCAGAGTATCAGCAATACCAAGAAGCAACAGCAAATGATGGAGAGGAAGCATTTGAAGATGATGAAGAAGAGATCAATGAATAAAAAAATTAGGTGCGAGATTTTTTCCAGGCCAAATTCTCAAATCTGGATTTCTGATAATTAGGCTTGTAAATCCATACTTATGTTTAAAAAGTAATAAAAAAGGGAGCATGAATTTCAGGAGTTAGAAGGGCTTTTCAGAGTCCATTTGGATCACTGTGGACACTCGGCATTGCTGGAAATTGGGCCATTTCTATTCATGAGACAAATGTAAGGCATTCAGTTACGACTTTGGCCTAAGAGTCTGAACGTGGAGATTGCTGGTTTGGGATCTTTTTTCTTTAGGGTTGTCATCCCTAAAGCTGCAGAAGAGAAGATGTAAAATAGGCATGAAAATCTACAAATTAGAGCTGCACTATTTTCATCCAATTATGAGTAAGAAAATCTTGTGAGCTTGAAGTATTCTGTACCAAATGTACAATACTAAACTGCCAGAAACAAAATTTATTCATAATAAAAGAAAAAGTTTTTAGATATGCTGTACAGTAACTGTTAACAGTGATATTTGATTCCAGTCCTCTAAAAATAAAATAAAAATTAATAGTACCCTCTCAAGCAGAAGTGTTCTGGGCAGTCAATGCTACATAAATACCCAGTGAGCTGCAGGCTAGAGGCTGGATTTGTGTGATGTGACTTCATCACTTGCTGCTGCTGAATAATCACAAATGATATCTGTGATATATAGATGAATCTGATAGATGTATCTGATATATAAATTAGATCCCCCCATTTGTGATGTGGCACCCCAATATCTTACTGGTCTTCCTGGCTATCACCAGCTGCTAATGCTATTCCTAACTCTATTTGACCCAGCCCATATAGCTGAAATCCAGATATTCCACAGATCATGGTGGGACAGGGGACACAGGCTATGTGCCAACAGATCTCACTACCTGGGTTTGTAAGTTCACCACACCTACAGATGCTGTGCATGTCTTACTACCAAGATAGATTAAAACAACTGGACAGGTAAAGGTTAAAGTACAAGAGCATTTATCCACAATACTCAAAGCAGTTGGCAAAATGAAAGATGAACAACAGGTTTATCTGCCCCAACTAAAGCCAAGTCAGAAAGGTCTCTGCCTAAGCCAGCTGACAAAGTGACTGCTGGGCATTTGCTCTCCATGCATGCTTTATGTTTCTGCTCATATCAATTAAACAGCCCTTCTCCATTAGAGAGCCTCCACCAGAGAACACTCTGTCTACTTGGAGTCTCTTATTTAGGCCAGTTCCTAGGCAACAAAGCAAGCAAACAAAGGAGAAAGCTTCTGGAAATCCAAACTTTAAATGTTTCAAGAACTCTTGCTTTTTCTTCTTGCTTTCAGAAGCACTTCTCAAGCAAAACTGTTGCTCAATACTTAAAAAGGTACTTTACAAATATAGTGAAATTTCCAAAGATCTGCTTCTCCTGACAAGATGATGCTTTGCTAGTTTGGGATCCAGGGAATGAGACAGAATTTAGGAAGTATATAAACCAGGCAACTATTAATCACATAACCTGAAGCTGTCTGCCCAATGCAATTCCACACAGAAATGGAACTAAATTAGTTTTAATGAAGTTTTTCACAGAAAGTGACTTCAGAGGTTGAGACAGTTGCTGGAACTTGGCACGGAGGCAGAGCTTGAGGGCCCAGCTGATTGTCTTTAGAAGAATCACAGAGGAGACAGCAGTCACAGGGCCATGTTCTTTGCAACATCTAGTGATGCCAAAAGGATTTATGACTAGCCATAGAACAGCTTTAAATATGTATTTTATAAATGTGAGATGTGGCTATATATTAATTACAGCATGAGATAAAGTTATAACATAACATACATTGAAGAGAAGTAACTGTGCAGGACAATACAAAGCAAAATCCATTGGGAGTAAAGCCATTAAACAAAGTGAAGTTGATTCTTTGAAAGTGGTTGACTATTTGCTTTGAAAGGAGGGGGATGCCTTACAGGCTCAGAGCCTGCCATCACACAGCTGTGGCACAGGCTTTCCAATTAAAGCACTAGCATATTTTCTCTGAATGAAATAGAATTAACCTTCTTATTGTGTGTGAAACTGCATTTTGTTGTAACACACATTTCATAACTAAGTCCAAGTCATAAATTCTGGTATTTCTGTGGAAAAAAAATGTTAATACTTTAAAATGCCAGAAATCTTGGCATTGCTGAATAATGGAGTTGTTAACTTGGTGAACCAGCCTGTTCCTTATTGCATTTCATACACTTGACTCAAAATGCAGAATGCAGACTCTGAGGCTGTGGAATTCAGCCCTCACAATGATCTTGCTTTGACTCACCCATTCTTGCACATGTGTTTACTTGCAACTGTTTGATGTGAATTTCTAGAATGTGTGGAGGTGGAAGAGGCAAACTAATGCTCTCTTTAGAAAAAAGAGACAGCTCTTCCATCTGATCCTAGGGGCAAAAAACCCCTCCCACCATAATGAACTCAGGACCCTGCAGAGTAGGAGGATCATCAGAGGACCAGTTTGTGCATAAGTGGTAACAAAGCCTCAGGAAGCACAAACACTTCCTGTTTCTCTTCAGTCAACCAACTCTCATCACCTTCCTTTCCTGAGAAACAACTGAAAATTGTTTTAGTAGCAAATTTACTGAGCAATTCCTTCAGTTGCACTTCCTTTCAAATAACTTCCCACCTTTTCCTTGGAAGCTTCTCTCTTATTTTGCAATCTCCATGGTGAGTCCCACCTGGCTTTGTTACTCTTCTTCTCAAAGTCCTCACCTGTCTGTTTTTCATTTTCCCTTTAGTTTTTCAGCCTAGTCTCTGGCTGAAACCTTTTATTTCTGTGCCTGGCCCATCATATTTTTCTCTTTTTTAACTGCTTTGGACCTGGCCACAGAGCAGTATCTAGCAGCAGGTCCAGGACAAGCCAGACCCCAGGAGTCCTAGAAGTGCAGCTCCCACTGCTCAGACACAAACACAGGTGTCAAGGCTAGGCTGGGGAGGGCAGAAAAGATGGCAATCTACACCACTGACACCACTTGGAAACTGGGAGAGCTGCTGCCTGGGAAGAGGGTGTGGTATCAGGACAGAAACTGGAATCCAGCTTCATAGGGCAGCCACTTTGCAAAGCCGTCTGGTCAAAGCCAGCAAGCAATGGAGCAGGCTCTCAGCTCACAGTCAGGAGAGTCCTTGCACGTGCTGCCTTAACCATGTCAGGCTCTTGGTTTCTTTGCATCCCATGATTACTGCTCAGATTATGCTCTCCCTTCCTTCTCTTGCACTTCTATCCCTCAGGAAAATGAGGTCAGCCCTTGGGAACAGAGTGAGGTTGGGAAAGAGGGTCTAGACCTGCTCCTTCTCCCAGCCTTGGGAGGAGCAGGGAACTCAACTCCTCCCTTGGTGCTGCACAAGCCCCTAGTAGCTGAAGCAGCACTGCTCAGTTTGCTGGCAAAAATTCATCTGGCATTATTGGCAGCCACAGCACAGACTAAACTTGATTTTCTTGATTCATGTTCAAGCACCTGACATCCTAAATTTGGGAGTTGAAGGAGGCTAGCAATACTCTTGAAAGAAGCAGGTTGGGTAAAAAGCTTTTTTGGGTTGTTTTTCTGTATCTTTGATTCTAAAATCCCAACACTGTCAAATTCTGCCATTTTTGGCACAGAAGATTAAGAGCTGCTAATGTAAGGCTAAGCAAGCAAGTTAATGCTCTAAAACAGAGGCAAAGGTAAAGGAGAGGTAAGGCCATTTTCATACATCTATTAATTACATGCTGCAACTGAACAGGAGTGGAATTTATTAATAGACACAAGCAGGGAGTAAGAGAAACCATCTCCTGTAGATGATTTTTTTCAGAGTCTGGTAGTGCCATTGTGAAGAATCAGGTTAAGGGTTTGGGGGTTGGGTGGTTGATTGCTGAGTTTTCTGTTGGTTTTATTTAGCAAGGAATGAAGAAATGCAGAACTCTGACCTTTACTGTATAAGCACAGCTAGTCCTCAGCACTGGCTACAAACTGAATATCCCAGACAAGAAGTGTTCAGCTAAACTGGAGGATGAGAAAATAACAAACAAGGCATTAATGCGGAATACATAATAAGCTACAACACTAGAGCATAAGCACAGAAATCAAGCACTACTTTATCATGTGTGCAAGATTTGAGTTTTATAGAAGAATTTTGCTATTGCAATAAATCATTCTAAACTTTGAGTCCAAAAATTAAGGAAATTTAGTTTTTTTCAGGCTGCTTTCCAGTTTATCATCCATTCTTTAATAAATGCAATAGCAATAAATGGAAGTGTTTAACAACTAAAAGTTCCCAGTAAATATGCCCAAAATAGCTGTATTTGCTCTGTTTTCCTCATTCCTCTTCACTGTAAAGCCAAGTAACATCACAGGTGGAAAAAGTTCTGTCATGAAGAAAAAGAAAATCCAAAAGAATAATTTCCATAAATAATTTAACTGAAACACATTTAGAACCAAGGGTCTAAACTTTCAGATAAACTTTTTCCTTTGTCATCCTACTGGTTCCCAGTATGTTGCAACATACAGATGGAATCAGTCACTAGTTATCCTTCTAACCTGCCCTCTGACTCTTTACCCTTAAAGGATTTTTGGTCCAGCAGAGAAGATTGGTTCATTTTCCTTCCCCCCCCCTTAACCACCACTCCACCCATGCTTCCTTGTCTTCTGCTGGGATGAGGAGAAAGACCATTAATTTTTGAACAGCTAAATTCTCCTACCAATGAATCCTTAGCAGGCAGCAGAAAATGAGAAGCAGACTACTAAGACACCTGTATTCAACTAAGCAGGGGAAAAATCCCCATAGCTTCTCCCCCATAGCTTTTGTTAAGCAAATGAGTATGAAACTCTGACAATCTACTTTATGGCCTTTGGCTTTGGTTGCTGCTTGTATTTGTGAACACAACCATTTAACCCTATTTTAACAGAGTTTTGCATTGCTCTGAATGCTATACCCAAAAACCAGCAAAAAAAAAAAAAAAAAAAGGACAGCTTTGTTCAGAAAAGTACTGTTTTTATTGACTCAAACTGTATTTACACATCACATTCATATGTTCAATAGTTTACAGAACTCTGTAAAAAACTGACTGGTAAAACTGCAGGAGCCGAACAGTTTCAGACTTAATTTAAGACACTGAACCATGAGTACATTTTAAGATATTTAAGCAAGTGTTCAGTTTTCACTGTCAACTTACATGGCAGTTCTCTGTAGACAAACTCTAAAATCAAAATGAGGTAAAGGGGAAAGGGTCAGATGAAAGAGCTGATAGTTTTGCAAAGCTAGTACTTTGTACAACCAGACTTCCACATTTGACAATGCACTTTGTATGATTCTTTTTCTTTTTGGAAACAGGTCATATACAGGTATAGTTTAGATAAATAATCAAAAAAACCCTTTGATTTTTGTAAGCTTACAGATGTTTGAAAAAAAAAAACAAAAAAACAACCAGTGCCACAAAATCTGTGCATGAATCTGAACTGTTCCAATGCTTGAGAGGCTCAGTTCTGGCATTCCACTGCAGCTCCAATTCCTTGTATGCTTCTCCAGCTGGCAAACAAAAGATGATCACCTTTTA